CAGGGCTGAGGAGAGGGGCAGGATCACCTCCCTCCACCTGCTGGCAACACTCTGCCTAATGCACCCCAGGAGACCATTGGCCTTCTTGGCCACAAGGGCACACTGCTGGCTCACGCTTAATTTGTTGTCCACCAGGACGACTCCCAGGTCCTTCTCCGCAGAGCTGCTTTCCAGCACATCAGCCCCCAGCCTGTACTGGTGCATGGGATTATTCCTCCCTAGGTGCAGGACCTTGCACTTGCCTTGGTGGAACTTCATGAAGTTCCTCTCTGCCCACCTCTCCAGCCTGTCCAGGTTCCTCTGAATGCAGCACGGTCTTCTGGTGTGTCAGCCACTCCCCCCAGTTTAGTATCATCAGCAAACTTGCCGAGGGTGCACTCTGTCCCATATGCTACATGTCATCAGCTCACACTGCAATGGCCTCTTGAGTCTGCGCACCTTGAAGTATTATGCAATTTTCGTCTTTGATACACGAAAAAGTTCTCAGTAATTACAGCCTAAGGAGGAATGCGTGTTTGATTTTATATGATATATATATTTTTACATAACAAGAGAAAGATGCATGCAGAGAGTATATATTACGTATCACTACATTGCATTTTTAATATATAGCATACACAGCTTTGTCTAATCAATTTGGACAGCCACTCTTCTATGATGCATTTTATGAGAATGATTTTTCTCCTGCCTTGCGCAATAAGTTTAATTTTTAAAAGGTCACTGGATAAATGAGGTGCCTGCATGCTAATTTTGTTTTCCAACATCAGAAAATATGATTTCATCATCAGAGACATGAGGGAGATGGGAAGAAGCAAGCAGTAGTGGTGTGTTTGGAACTTATTAGAATGAAAGGCTTAGATTTTAGGTCAATTTTTCTCAACATCTGATTATCATAAAATGCCATTTGGAAAATAAATCCCTTTTGCGCATTCAAAGAAGAAGTACTTTACTGATTTTTCACAATTTTTCCAGCAAAATTAGAAATAACTTCAGACTTTAAACTTCTTTTTGGATTTAGCAAATTATATTTTTTAATTAATTTGTATTGTAGTAAAACCAGGAGACTCCCAGCTGAACTTGGAATCCCACTCTTTAGTCACCATCCTAGTACAGATTACGAGATACTTTTTTGTGCTCTTTAGAGTTATTATCTAAATGGCTAAAGCCAATATAAAAAGTATCAAAGAAAGAGGCTCAAAGAGTAAAACAATTCTTTACTAACTTTTTTTGTAGTTTCACAGTGACTTTTGCTGTGGTTGAATCTGCTTTCGCCATTACTCTTACTGGCATGAGTTTCTGGCTTTCTTCTCCTTTCCTTAGCTAATATAGTTGAACTAAACTAGTATACTCTTTTAGGAGTGGCTCTTTTGTACATTTTTGGGTGCGTCTTTTCTGTGTCTCATCTTTTCCTCTCCCAGGAATGTTGCTTTGGTACCTGTTGAAGCCATTTATATATCTGTCTGACCTATCTTGAATCTCTCATGCTATTCATTAAAAAGACTTCTTACTTTTTTCATGTTCTGACAGCATATCTAAGGCAATTTAAGGTAGCTTTTTCCCATATTTTCTGATGATCATCATTTCTGAGCAGAAAGATTTTCCAGCAGGAAAACACAATTTTCTAACATGCAGTGATATACCACATTAACACATACACAAGTTGTAATGGCCCCAGCTGCCTTTAGCTAAAATATTTTTAGAGATTTGTATTTTAAGACCACAGAGGAAAAACAGAAGCAACAATTTCTTGGGCAACAGTAATGACAGAAAAGTTTTATTTTTCAAGGACCAAAAACAAGAAAACTGCTTTTAAGTATTGTTTCCACATTGCCTTGACTAGAGCCATAATGTGATTATCAGAGGTATTTTCCACTTCAGTTAGTTCAAAGATTTCATTAGCTAGAACAAAACATGATCAAAGTGTCACATATAGGAATTTTCTTTTTTTATTGAGTCATTCATAAAATAAAATTTGCCAAGGAGAGCAGGACCCATACATGTTTCTTGTGATTTTGTATATAAACAATATCAGTGCTTGTGTATAAAGATTGTTCCAAGTGCTTAGTTCAATTTCCTGGGCTAAAAATGTATACATTCTTCTAAAGGAACTTAGGTGAAAATGTGTGCCTTTTTTCATCACCAGAATATAGATGTGTTCCTTTGATGACACCTCCCTCAAAAAAAAAAAAAAAAAGAAATCCAGAATGAATTAATGGACATTTTCACGATAAAAAGTGTGCTTTATTTGTGGTTCATTTAGACTTGTTTAAAGTAAGTCAGAATTTAAATATATTGAAGAAAAATCTGGAACAATTTTTTAAAAGCTTAAAAATGAAATTAATTTATTAAGCTGAATTGCAAGTTTTGCATGATACTTATGTGTAGCTCCTTATTCCCAAAGTTCTTCATGGAACTGAGCATAATTCTGAATTTAGTGTGACTTTTTTACTGTAGAGACTTAGTTTCTCCTACCGCACTGGAGAGTTCATATTTAATGAACTGGGCATAGGCAGCAAAGTATCGTACTGAAAACGTGTTATAGGCCAGAAATATAATATCAGCAAACTTTTCTATTAAATCTTTAAAGAAAAATAAAGTGCTTAGCTTGGGCCTGAGAACCTCAAATCCAAGGGAAAAATGCTAAGGGATATTGTTATTTGCTAGCCCCTTACACCAAAAGCAAGAGATGTTTGTTTAGATGCAGAAAATATAACAAAAGGGTGAATTGAGTTCAGTCAGCTAGACTGCTGTTAAATGACCTAATTTGATGTCAATGATGAGTGCAGACCCTACGGGTGACAACCGTGGGGCTTGTGGCAGAACGTGAATCCAGACAGCTACAGCGGGCTCTGGGGCAATTTCTTCTGCTGAAATACAAAACGGTGCATGGTTTCAGGAAGCGCCGTGCAGCTCGGTCACACTCTCCCATGACATTACGGGGGGCTCCCACGTGTGTGCATGGCACAGCTAGCCTGATCCCGGTGTTGGGTTGGCTGTGCCCTTGCAAGCCCCTACACGCCAGTAAACCCTTCCTCGCTCCCTCAGATAGCCGGTGGCTATGAGGGAGCTGAGCGTGTCCCGATGCTCGGCGCTGGCCGCCCTCTGCTCGGGATGGGGAAGGGATTTTTCTGCTTGTGGGCCGCATGCGATAGATGCACAGCAAGCTCAGTGGTGGCTGTGCCTGCTGTGTGTGCCCAGGCTGCATACGAACAGCGGGGCTGACAGGTCCGTGGCCCTGGTGCACTTCCCTGCTGTGTGCTGGGGCTGCCCAGCGGCGTGCGAGCGGTTGCGTGCTCCTGATGGAGGGCAGCGAGGGCTGGCAGGGAGTATGCTCCTGCCTCTGGCTCTGCAGATGATCCTTGGCTCTCAAGTGCCCAAGGGACAAGGGACGGGAGTAAAACTTGCTAGAGCAAGCTAAGGGCCAGACGAATTGTCCCAGACTTTGGCTATTGATTGAGTAATCCCGACTAAGATGTGTGTTTGCATATAAACAGATATTTGGGGGTGTGTGTTTGTGTAGGCAGGGTGGAGGGAGGAGTAAGCAGAAATATGATTGTTTCTAACTGTTTATGAAAATACTGTGATTAACTCTGAAGTTTGCATGCTCTTATACTGTAATGATTGTCATTTTAAAACTAGCTTTTTGCCTTCGAGCTATCGGGGTAAAGACCTGCGGGAAAACTACTGCCGAAACCCCCGAGGGGAAGAGGGAGGGCCGTGGTGTTTCACCACCAGCCCAGAGACGCGCCACGAAGTCTGCGACGTTCCCCTCTGTTCAGAAGGTAACCCAGCACGGTTTGCACTGTAAAGTCATATTTTCTGTATCAAAAGTAGGAATGAGGAACTTTATTAGCTTTAGTGATACTCGCATATGGACTTTGAACCAAGAATAGGTGATTATTCAGCAAGAACGACTCATTTATCGAGAAAAATAAAGTTCTTAGAGAAAGAGAAGATCTTTTTATATATTCTACAACGTCTGGAAAATTTGAAAAGGACTTTCAGGCCCACCAACTTTCAGGTCACAAAGAAACTGAAACAACGAAGGTGTGCTGATCACACAAATGAGACCTGTTTCTTCACTGTCTAGTCTACAGTGAATCCGTCAACGACTTCTGTATTTCTGTTTGATAAAATCTTCTAGTGTTGTACCATGGTAAAATCCACTTTTCGTCATTATCGTGAAAATATTGATACTGAATTAGAGGACAAGGGATCATACTAAACATGTACTTTGTTTCTCAAATGAATACTTGAAATAAGCCAATTTTTTTACAACTCCAATCCCATTCTACTTACGAGTTGCAAATTCTGAACAATGGCATTTAAAGTGCAAAATCATGTTTGCTGACTTTTATTTTCTGCTAACCTCAGAACTTAGCTCTTATATTTTGTTAATCAGTCAATTCAGTTCCAGTCAATTAACTCATTTAAATTCTCAGGATAGGAGGTCTTTAATTTTCTAGCTAATGTGTTGTGTATAATAGCTGTACGGTGATGGGAAAAGAAAAGGGAATGGAAGGAAGGAGGAAAAGGGAGCTGGAAACTCTATTAAGACATAACATTTAAAGGTCAATTTAGCTGAGCTTCAAATGGAATAAAACCTGGAGTTCACTGCAGGATCAAGATTGTGGAAGTGGATGTTTTGACTGAAGACTGAATTTTGTAATTGCATATGTTAGAATTTTCTAAGTGATACTTAACTATAATTAGTTTAATTAGGGGAGAGCACTTGAGAAATTTGTCTACAGTTAATTATAACGAATTTATTTCATATTTTAAGATCTCTCATCCTAAATTATGTAGCACATTTTGCACAACAATGATTTCTAATCACTTCAGTAGCTTTTGCCCACTTTTCCCCCACCCCCACTTTCTCAAACCAGGGCTGAAAATGTATCATAGTTTAAGCTGCCAAAAAGAATTAGTTTCGAAAAGAAGCAGCATCACACGTAGCTAAAACTGCTGGGAACTTAAAGAGACAGACTGCACTTCCTTAAATTTGTGATGCAACCATTATTCTGGACTTAAACTTGTCCCGCCATTATAGAGCTCTGTATGATTTAGAGTGATTTTGTATTATGGATAGTACTTAACTAGAAAGTATCACTTAAAAAAACCCTACAAAAATAGAAAAAAAAGACTTTCTCAAATGCTTTTCTGTCTATACTTATATCAGCTAGCAACCATGCTTTCTGCTTGGTGGGGCAGCCCATTAGAGATTAGAACCAGAACTCAAGCAAACCACTATGATAGGTAAGATAAAGTGCAGCTAGGACCTTGAATGCCTCTAGCAGCTCACACCTAGCTGCTTCCAAACTGTAAAAGTCCTATCAAGGGGTACCAAATTTAAGCATCTGGCTTCGATCTAAGAAAGAGATGAAATTGTATTTCAAAGGACATTTCCCATCCCAAGGAACTATGACTTTTTTTTTTTTTTTTATAACTGTCTAGGTGACTTTCAATTTATAAGATGAGTTTTTTTTGCGCTGGAAGTCACCAGCCTAATAAATGACTAATATATATATATATATTTTTCCTCTTAGTTGAATGCATGACTTGTAATGGAGAAAGTTACAGAGGACCAATGGACCACACAGAGTCAGGCAAGGAGTGTCAGCGCTGGGATCTTCAGAGGCCACACAAGCACAAGTTTCGTCCGGAGAGGTAACCCCCTCCTCATTCCCAAACAGTTATCATTGAAAATTACACACATTCTGGAACCAGTTGGGCTAAATCAGCATTAGCCCAGTCAAAATTAACACATTTTACTGATTTTTGTTGTCTGAAGATCTGGCCCCTGGTGTGTGCAGGCTAGCTACTGCCATGATGCAGATGTGGGACAGGGACTGGGGACTACTTCGTACAGCTGTGGCCATATCACATGGCTATGAACCATGAACCATGTACCGTAATGTACATATTCTGCATTAGTTGATCAAAATTTCCTCCCTAGCACCATCACCTCTGGATGTTTCTGTATATGTCACTATATAGCTTCAGTCAGCTTAAAATACCCTAATATAATGATAAAATAGTAATTAAAAGTTGTCAATTTGACATTAACATGTTCTTAACAAATTCAGTGAGATTAAACTTGCAACATTAACAAGTCAGAGTATGTTCACTTCTGAAAGAGTGAGTAGCTTCAAAGCTGTAGCTGGTCTTCCGTTGCAATCATGTTTAAGTACCCAGTCTGTTAGCCCAAAATGTTAAAAATATCATTGCATTTTTTTTTCTGCAAAAACAATTCATAATTAATATCTTTTTCCTGTGTGACTCAGATGATCTGCTCTGTGAAGAATAGCATGCTTTCCTATAGTTCTGCTACAATAAATATTTTCTACTAGCAGTCTGGGACTGAAGACAATCTGTTTCTGAGTTTTGCCATGGACTTGTTGTGCACTCTAGAATAACTCACAATAATAATTTTATTCCTTAGCAATTAAACATTTAAAGAGCTTTTGGATACAATCAGTAATCATTTAACTGTCATTAGGAAATTTCTTTATTCTGTTAATTTTGATTTGTTCACAAAATGACTTTCAGGAGTAGCTGCAGTCTTAGTAACGATCATCTTAAAAATTTTCCTTCCAAAAATTTCTTCTTGAGAATTTTCAGACTTTAAAAAAATGCCTTACTATTAAAAAGCAATCCATACAGGTTGCATTGATCTGTATATGCTTTCAGAAATTTAACTGGTGTCGAGGATATTTCTAATACACTAGTGTTAATTAACTTCATGAATTGGTCACCAAAGGTATTGACAATTATACTTTGATTACATTAGCTCTTAATGTTTTTAATATATATATATATAAAATATATATATAGTGTTAAAGCAGTAAATAAGAGAGGTCTGGAACAAATGATCCATTAAAGCACAGTAATCTCCAGGGAGGCTTATGAATATGGGCTCACTATATTATCAGGTAGTAATGTGAATTGCCTGGAAACCAGGAAGGGCTTGCACAAATGGATAGATTTAACCCTATTTGCATTAATGGATTCATTAATTGCTGTGATGGAGGAAGAGGTAAAGCCACTAATCTTTTCAAAGGCTCCACAATCTACCTGCTGTTGGACAGCGGGGGGTTGGACTAGATGATCTCCAGAGGTCCTTTCCAACCTCAACTATTCTGTGAATACTTTCAGTCCAGGGTGAATACATCTCCTGCTTCCCTTTTGTCATCTTGGGGAGCCATTCCAGATTTCTTCCCTTCTGAGGTCAATTACTGAAGAGAACTGATTATTGCTGTTTGCTTAGATGTGACTTGAACTAGCAATGGAACATCCCCCGCCCCCCCAACACTCACAATGGCCAGTTTTTAGCTGCTAGTGGATGCAGAATTGTATTCTGAAGCTCCAATTCCCCAGTGCACTCTTCACTGTCAGGGTTTTGCCTCGGTGTGGGCAGAAGATCGCTGAGGAGAATTGCTTAGAGAGTCATAGAAGAGCTTAGAGAAACGACAGTTCTCTCCTCTTCCACTCATATTTTCTACTCAACATTAAATATGCCGAGGAAGTAAGTTCTTACCGCAGGGAGCAAAGATGAAATCTAATGCAACAGTTTAATACCTGTAGGTATTTTTTTATTAAAATATTCTCTTTTACATCTCTGATATGAAAGTTTACTTTATGCAAAATCAAGCTTGCAGTCCTACATGTCTTTTAGAACAAAAAGGAGAAGAAAAATAAGTATTTGTGAAGTATGAATTCCAGACACTAAAATTCAGTTTAGTCCCAGCAGAGCTAGAGATCAATGTCTGTCTCTTTAAAGAGAATAAATGTTATCTCTTTGTCCAAATTTTTTTTTTCCTAGAAGCAGAAAAAAACCTCTTGATTTTGACATCAGATGTATATCTTAATGATTCATTTCAGCTTCTGCAGTGAAATACAGCTACTGCTGTTTCAAGCAGAGGAAAAAAAATGCATAGGGTTCGGAAAGATCCTGGTAGCTGAAGACTTTTTGTTGAGTTCAGGGATGAGGTTTGTGCCTGAGAGTACTGGGGGGAAGATCTTCAGAGCAGACAGACCAGCTTTTAGAGGGACCTCCACAGTCTCACTGCTGAGGGCAGTTTCAAGTCTCACCGTTCATCTAATATTTGTTGGCCCTTTTCTACAGGAAATGAAGAACTGTGGCTTGCTGGATAGGAAGAAGGTAGAAGTGTATATGAAAACATTGTGAGGAAAAACTAAGCCACTAATTTAATCTTCATGCTGAATCTCTTAAAGGGTACATAGATATAGCAAGTGGTAAAGATACAGTTCACGGATGCTACTCCATTCTATGACGATGATCAAAGTTTGATCCCGAAAGAACCATTGTGCATACGCTTAAGTTTCAGGTGGTAAATAATGCAATTTGGCAGAGTGCATGCTTGCATACTGAGGACAATGCTGAGGACAGATCATTCAGCGCTATGCAAGATGCTTGCCTTCTAGAAAGTGTATTTTCATATCCCATTGATATGAGAGACATAGCTGCACAGACCCAGCCATTTGTGGATTCACCTTGGTTACTGGGTAATGCCCATGGATTCTCCAGCGCTACATAACATGGCACATGTGCTGCTGACATCAAAGCCCATCACTGCGAACTTTTGTCCAAAGCTACCTCGTTTTCTGCCACATTGCTAGTCCACAAAGAGTTTGCTTGTGGAATTCTTGCACACAGTCTGCCCCCTTACAGTTTCCCTCTTACCCAGAAGAAAACAGGATTATAGGAGAACTGGTAACAGAGAAGTGTAGTTGCTTGTGCTGCTAGATCTGAAACTATCACACTCTCAACCAGCCTTGAATTCTCATTTTTACAAGGTTTCTTCTTGGGTTTCTTCTGAATTCTACTTTAATCCTGTTTCTGTCCCTCATATACAGGAAGGAGCTTGATTTTTCCCAAGCAATGGGAGCTCTAATTCCAAATGTACTAGTCGACACTGGGGTGAACGTGTAATAGAAAAAGCATCCCAGTATAAACATACGTTTTTAAATCATATTTTCTTCTGCTTATGAGAAGCACATCTGCTTGCAGTTGTAAATGGGTTCAGGTTCCCAGGTAGTTAACTTTATTCTCTTACGTACTCTTCATGTTTCCCTCAGGGGCAAATCTGTTTTTTTTGTTTCTTTTCCAAACATATTTTGATAAAAATGGAAAATTAAGACAATTTATATTCATCAGAGGAAAAAAAAAGTATGCTTTTATCTCCCACTCTTTAAGTTTTTAGCTGCTCATATGGCTCATTTAGACCACAAGAGCATCCTTATCTTGAACCTCTGCCTGACTGCCAAATAATGGCAGCAGGAACGTGGAAATGATTAAATAGCACAATAGTTTCAATCCTTGATGAGATAAAGGGAGACGGATTTTTTTTTTTCTTTTTCCCCCTTAATGCTGGAAATGAGGGCACGACCCAGAATGAGTTCTATTATGAAAATGGAGCTATCATTAGTAACAAAGCTATTCAAAATAGCTTCCAGTTTGAACCCAGGGCTGTTGCACTAAAGAACCTGTTGTCTTAATGAGTCCAGCTGCCTGGCAGTGTTTATATAACGCACACTTAATTGGGCTGTTTGTAAAAAAAGAGTGGCTTTAGAGTCTGGCCATCAGTTGACAGACACGGGAGCAAGAGTTTAGCAATTAGCAGAGTTACCCCATCCGGTGGCCTGTGCATTAACACAGCAGGGGATCCTCTCTGTGGAGACCTGATTCTGCTGCATGCTTGCAAGGAGATCTTATGTTAGTAACTTTCTAATAGCATTAAAGTGTGTCTGAATCCATTGCACAGGATCAGACCACAGGTTAATGGGAGCTTGTTCTCTTTCGCCTCTGCTGAAGACTGTCCTTCGCATACCTTGCACATGCCTGTGTAGTATTGCCAGAAAGACTTGCCTGACACATTTCTTGCTGTGGTTTACAGATATCCTGACAAGGGCTTTGATGATAATTACTGCCGCAATCCTGATGGCAAGCTGAGACCGTGGTGCTACACTCTTGACCCTAACACCCCCTGGGAGTTCTGTGCAATTAAAACGTGTGGTGAGTTCAAGCAAAATTTATTACTTCCTTTGCCTTTCCAAAATCTGGACACAGGCAATTAATTTATTTCATACTGCAAATGCAAGATGGTAGCTTTTGTTGTCCCCATTGAACTATTCCCATGTCATTACCCAGATGGAGAATTGTATCAAAGTGGTATTAAGGTATATAGATATTGGATGTCCACTTTGGACAGAGCTCTAGGTCAGATTTTTTAGAGTATTTATATTTTATGGCATATTCTGCATTCAAAACCCAGCAGGAGCTGGGAACAGGAGCAGGAGCTAACTGCGGTTGTAGCTCTGAATGCTTTATTATCTTGAAAACTAGGTGTATTAAATAAACAACAGAGGGAGAGTGAGGAAGGAAAAATTATTGAGCATCTCTTGAAAACTTAGGTGAAGTAGTTTTTCTGTGGTATCACGGGAACACGGTGGCAGAGGCAGATGGTAGTATTCAGTTTTGTAGAGAAATGTTTTAATGAGGAAATCAAGATTTGCATCCCTGAAATTACTTGGGTCATTCTGAGCTTGCAACCTGTGTAAGAAATGAGATATGGGATCAACAGGTGATAGTCTCCTCTGTGATCTCCTTCCCTTCTCATTGATGCATTTGGGGCATTGTGGATTCTGTGCACTTAATGAGCTGCAATCCTATGAAACGACCCATATGTAAAGATAAAATTAGAGAGTGTCTTCTTTTAATACCTAAGCAGTTTTCCTCCTTTGCTGAACTCCAAACATTTAGTTAAACACATCTTGGGATCAAATATAATTTCTGAACACACGGTTTTGACAGAATCCCTCCAGTAGAAACCTGTCTGCTCCTGTGGCAGAGGAGCCAGATAAGAAAGAGTATTTTTGGATTTGCCATGAACTAGAGGCAAAAGGAACCTTGTGAACCTGCTCAATGAAACTCAGAATTTGTTCTTTGCTGATGAAGTCGTGAAAAAGTCAACTGCTCTTAGATTAGCAAAATTTTGGAAACTCCAAATTTCTTTGTTGTTCTTCTCCAATTTTGACCAAAATTAAATATTAAAAAAAGAAGCAACCCTGAAATCAGACATTCTACTTTCCATCTAGATCAAAGTGTGACTTCAGTAGTCTTATGCCATTGTAAAATCCATTTGGCTTTCCTAGGAGGAGAATAGAGAAAGAGAATTTATTTATTAAAAAGAATCTTCTCTTAAGTTCATCTGGAAGTTAATTTGCATGAGAATTCAAAAAAGGAAAAGAATGGAAAAAGAAAGATAAGAGAAAAAAGTGAATTTTAATGAATTTTCTTTAATTTTCAGAGTTGTGTTTTTTGTGTGGTTATTTGTTTTGTTGGTTTGTTTGTTCATTTGCTTGTTTGTTTCAACCAAGATAAGCCACTATTGGGGTGTTTCACATCTAGTGAAAATAGAGACAGATTTATTTGGATTTTATGAAAAGTATACTTCCATAAAGTAACCCAGTATTTTTCCTACAATGCTTGGATGTATATATATATTTGTGTACATATATATTGGAGGGAGAAAAGATGGAATGACTCCAGCATGAACCATTATATGCAAGCAAGTGGGCTACCTAGCTGGGGAAGAATGGGATTCTTCAGCTTCACTTTGGAATTCTCATCAAATCAAATCACATAGTGTTTTCCATTTCCACTGTCAATAGGTCAGAATACTCTCTCCTTGCTTATACTTGGTTTCGGTCACTGTAAAGTCTTGGGTTGTCAGTCACCTCCTACTGGGTAGTCACTTTTTAGAAATCCAAAGACTGAGTACAGATATTCTTCATGTACTCCCTGATAGGGAGTAATTGAGTTGTCTCTGCCTTAACATATTTCATTATAAATCCAGTGTCAGGTGGTTAAAATTAGCAAAGTTACTTCATCGTAAAAAGTTAAGAAAATTTGCAGCTTTGGGTAATCTCTGCTGTAATCAGGTTCTGCAGAGACAGAAGACCCTTAACAGGACATTATTGCTTGTTCTGTGACAGACAGCCATTAGGTCATGCTGTGCTGAGTCTTTCTGGTGAACTACAGTACTAATTCTCATAATCATATCTGGAGTTTTTGATAACCTGAACATTTAAGTTTAACTTTTCCCCATTAAGAACATAGTCTAGGGCAGTGATATAATTTAATTGTCTTTCAAATCTGTTAATTATTTTTTTTCTTACTAATCTGTACTTCCTACATTTCTTTAAACAGTAGATAACACATGAATCATATGTATATATCATAATAGAATGATTCTTTTCCCCTGGTAGAAGTGATTTTATTACTAAAATAAAAATATTCCTCCATTACAACTGACTGTTTCGCAAATGCAACTTTTATAAACCTTTATCCTTTGGCATTTCCTGAGCTGATGTGTCAGTGTTCTGAGGATTCACATCTGGCTTTGCTGGTCACGTAAGCTTATAGTCCATGTAACTCCCAGCATTTGCAGCCTGATCTAAGTTTTATAAAATCATTGGCTGGAAGATCTCTTGCAAACTACTGCGATTTCATCTCTGTCTACATAAGTCATGATTATATTAAAGTCCTGAAGAAAAAGCAATCCCAATACTGGAATCACTAAAATTAATAAAAGAAAAGGAAAAAACCCTCCAAGGTAATGATTTCCATGTTGTGATGAAATACTTTTTTAGGAAAAAGTTGACAGTATTAAATGTGAATTCTTTCTTTGCTCTTCGAGAAGAAAGTATGTGTCTTATCTCCTAGTGGGGAATCCCAAAGACCGCTCTAGGTTTCGGTGACTACTGAACCATTTTTTTGAAGCTGCAGCTCTACGCAAATTCAGGATCCTGAAAGAAGAGCATCAGGAGTTATATGTCTTTACAGCTTTGTGGTTTGAATTCTCACACAGATTTTTAATTCTTACCATGAGGACTGTTTATATATTTTACAAGAAATATTAATTAGAAAAACTACTTTGCAAATCCAAAGTCCTTTGAACATGCACAAAAACATAGGTGTCCTCTCTTCAGCGGAGTGACCACGAGGCAGTGTGCTGCTTGTGGCTTTTGCTACACGTCATGAGTGCTAGTATACACTATAGCCAAAATGCTGACAACAGCTCATATACAAAATTTTAGGCAAAAAAATCAGTGGAAGGAAGCATTCAGAAAATAAATATGTTTCTAAGACTGAGGAGACAGGAGGGCATTGTAATTTTATTTCCAAGCACAGAAGGCAGCATAAAACATGGTGGCTTACAGCCAGAGCTGTGAGAAAGAGATGACAGGAGCAATTAGGGATTAAAGATGGCTCAAGCTGCAAAAATTGGATCTGGATTAAGACTTCAGGGACCCCTGGATTGGTTTGAAGTTGCTCACATATGTGTCTGTGGTTTTGGCTTGAGATAATTTTTAGCTAGAAGAGAGGATAAAAGGGCAACTAAAACAGCAATAAGAAGTGTAGGATGAAATGAAGAAATGGAAGCAGTGAGAGCAAACGGGAAAAAGAAAATGACTATTACTTTGGCATGGTTGATGATATGGACTATGGGGAAGATAGGAATGGGGAGCTAATATCTGCTTTAAAAAAAAAAAAAAAAGGATATAGTTAGCAGCAAGGCTATGGACGAGCTGTTGGGGAGAGAGTTGTTGAGGCCCAGAATTCAGGAAGCTACATATGTCAGTCTTTTGAGAGCTACAGGAGATTATTTTGGCAGGGACAGTGTTTATTTGCTACCTACCTGATTTCCAACAATCCCATCTAATTTTACTATGGATTTTCTACTTGCTGTCGGTACTTGTGGGCAGCAGCTGGGGGTGACTGGAGACCTGAAAGACCTGAGAGAATCCCATAAGGGTCTGGATTTGACCAGAGAGAGTAAAAGGGGAATAAAAAGATAGTGAAACTGAAAATCTGGGAGTAAAATGAAGTGCAGTAGTGTACCTAAAGTGTTTGGGAAGATGAAGAATGTCCATCTTAATTTTCCCAATATTACATTACTCAGTTTTTTAGAAGTAGAGATTTCAATGGCCTATATGAATGTGAAGTTCTGGTGTAAGAGTTATTTGTTGAATCAAAGTATGTAAACAAATAAAACTGTCATTCAGCTTAAGCTTAATATTTACAGAAGATAAAGACGTTTATGTAATGCAGTCAGTGAGAAGAGGCTGGTGCTTAGTAGCTGATAAAGTGTCACCTTCCATCTCACTTTATAATGAGGAAAGGCAGAGTCTAGCAACCATTGTGTATGTAGCTGCGTTATTTTACATTTCCTTGTAAAGGATCTTTTTCAGATCTGTTTCCTCATTTCTAACACAGTTTTTAAATTGAGATGTCAGAGGTCCACTGAACCAGCGGATAAGCCTAATGGAGAAAATTTGGATATAGATCAAGGTTTTGAACTGATTAAATGCAAAAGTTATTTGGATTTAAACTTAATTGTACAGATTGGTACAACTTTGAAATCTCTCTGTGTTCCAGGGCAAATAAGCTGCAGGTGTGTAGGCTTTAGGCCACGATATGTTCCTCAAAACTGTATTTCTTGAACTTGAATATAATTTATTTCTTCATTCTTTCTCATATGTTTTCACTGAAAAAGAAAATAACCTTTCCTCTCTAATGCTAAAAATTAGTGTTTATTTCTCTGTTCATATACTGTGAGATAGTACATTGAAGAAAACGCATAGAAAGAGAACAACTGTACAGTACGATTACTGCATAGTGCAGTCCAGAATTGTGGCTTGAATTGCTTGTAGACTGAATTCCTGGAAGCCGTGTGACTGAGAGCAAGGAGCTTCTCCCAGCAAATGTAGTCACTCTAGACAGTTGCAGGATTGCATGAATCATGTTTAATGTGGAATTTACTATTTTTAGAACAGCTCCTTCACTGGGTTAGGTACCCCTTTTCTTTCCCAATCTACCTTATATGATTGTTCATTAAAAATCAGGGTACGTTTTCCTTCACTGACTGACCCCCAAGGAAAGACATGGTATCTTTATAAGTAAAAGTAGAATTTTTCTTGGTGAAAGCAAAATGAAAAGAAAGATGGTTTCCAATGTATATTTTTTTTTTCCAAAAATGTGTGGCTAGTATTACCATGAAAGAACGTGAATACTCAAGCAAAATCCCTGCCTTCATTTAAGTCAGTAGGAGTTTTGTCATTGACCTAGAATTGCAGTAGGATTTACTTCTGGGTCATAAGGTCACAGAAATAGTACCCTCAGTAGCTCCTTCAGCTGTAAAATTCTTCAGGAAAAAAATGGCTTGAAATTCTCCTGCTGATTCCCTCACGCTGGTGTTATTGTGGGAACCAGAACCAGAGGAGGCCATCTTTAACTTTATATATGAAGTTTAGGGTAACATTTTTATCTCTTTACTCAAGTATCTCTTTACTTTACTGAATCTATTAGCTACCCTATATTAATGAAGTTTTTTATTTAGAGGTATCACAATATGGAAAGTTTTATGGAAATAGGACACTTTTGCATTATTGCATTTTGGTTGGGGACCTGATGGTGAACATGTGAAGGTGCATATAGATCTAACAAGAAATCCTTACGCAGCTATCTGAATTATGTGGTTAATTTGAGTAATAAAGAAAATAAAATAAAGAAAAAAAATTACATCAAAGTTCAAAAGTAGCAAAATGCTAAATTCTACTGCTAATAATGAAGTTGCAAACGTAGGAATAACAAGTGACATTTAACCAATAAATCACAAATTAACTTTTTATATAAAATTATTTTTGTTTGATCTTGATTTATGAGTGATTTTTCGCTCAGTTTAGAACTATATAAGCTAAACTTGAGCAAAAAAAGGTACTTCTAGCATGGAATTCAAGTGCTATTAGTACATAATTAGTGAGGATTGCTTACTGAACTTCAGTAGACATTCATCTTCTAACTCAGTTCATAAAGGCTTTCTTATTGAAAGAAGCCCTAAGAGGTGCAGCTCATTATTTATATTTTAGCGGGATTGCTAGCATAAGGACAAGAATTCAGCCTTGCTGATATTTATCCTCGTCTTGCATCCACCTTTTAAGAGAATTGGTGAAAGCACTCTCAGGAGCTGAGCTATGGCCCTTCTTCACCAGTGATTTGCATACCTTGTGTTGATGCTCAGAGTTATTGCACCTTAGAGAATTAGCTGTGTGGATGACAGGACTAGAGAGTCTCAGGGACATGACCTGTAAAGTTAACTACTTAAGCTGTAGACTTAGCCTAGGCATTTCTTTAAATGTGGCAACTGCTCTGTAGCTGGCAGTGCTGCACAGCATCCCTGTAGTGCCTGGAGAGGTAGTCTCCGATGCTCAAGCTGCTGTGTGTCCCTAGGCATATCCAACCCATCCTTCATGTCACGGAGCGAATGGGGAGACTGTTCCCATAGCATCTGTTCTTGGAAAACACCACTTGAATAAGATGGTGGAAAAGGATTTTTTAAGCTTTTAATGACCGTTTCTGGGCCTTCTGAGACTTAAGAGCCAGAATGGGAGAGGTTGCTTCTGAGAGCACAAGTACTAGGGATCTGTTAAAGAGGATGAATAATTTCTGAAACATAACCAGTTAAATGTCAGAAATATTTTGGGTTCTCATTTTTCAAATTTAAAAACTAACAGTGTGTAGAAAATGCAGACTATAGAGCATGAAAAAAATGTGGAGACTTCTATGGAGCTTTTCAAATTATAGAATTGTGTTACTAGTTCAAACAAAAACTAATATTTTAATGATCTTCTTCATCATTGAATGCTTATTAGATTAAAGGTAACTAAGCGCTGCCACAAAGTAGTAGCAGCTGATCTATCATGCACTAAGGATTCTGAGACTATTTCACTCTTAGCCATTATAATATAAGTCCTTCCAGCAGTAGCCTGGTAGTACAAGTTGTCATTCTAAAGTTAAAGTTTAGTCTGTCTAGCTTTTTGATATATTTAAAAGTGAGATAAATTTGATCTGTAGATAGAGGTCACTGTCTAGATGCATGATGTTAAGTTTAGGATGGAGCTGTTTATCTATAGATATTTGACAAAAGGTACACACTAAGAAATAATTCTATGGCCTCACTTAAATTAATTGGTACATTAATTATTTCAAGAGTATGATTTACAAAAATAAGTTACATCGATGCAAAAATGCGTAGATGTTTTACATAGTATGACTGGGGATGGAGTAGGTGTATCACACTATGTCATTACAATTGAAATATTAACTACTTGTGTATAATTAAACCATTTGTATAAGGTTTACTGTGTATAAGATAACCTTAGCTCTTTTTAAGCTGAATTTTTGTGTATTATTATTATTATTTAATGAGACTTTTTGCTAGAGTTCTATGATTAGAACTTATTTCTTATTTATTTAGGGAATATTATGCAGCCAGGATGCTTCATTTATGGTGAAATTTATCATGGTGGGTGAGCCATTTTTTCCAGATTGAACCCCGTATCTGTTTCATTTTTTAATAAAAGTGATGCATACATTTTTGGAAAAGGGTAATATAATTCACTTGAATGTGGTATTATGACATTCAATCTAATGAGCTTAAGAGCTCTCTTAGAATATATTTCCAATTTATTTTTATAAATTAGTGATGATGGAAAGCTGAAATATATAGTTGCATATTTCTATAATATGTATGCATTCCTCTTTTTGTTGTTCGATTATTTATAAAGTGAATAACAATGGCTAAAAATATAGTTATGTGCCACAAGTCCTTTTGATGACTCCACCAAAAAGGGTATATTTTGTCAGCATGCAAAGCTTGCTTGTGGTACTTCCAGTGCGATGTCCTTTTGATTTGGAATGAGCTTAGAATTCACAATCCCGTTGAAACAGGACAGCCTTTGCAGATGAAGTGCCTTGGGAAGGAAGGACAGGAAATTAATTTAACTATGAACCAGTGATGTAAAAACATCAACCAGATGACGAGAAGAACGGAAATTTTTTCTAGCACAAAGAAATGTTTAAAACAACCGCACAACTTGATGTTATCATCTGACATGGAAGTGATCAGTAATGTAAAAGATTAGAAAATAAATAATCCAAACCCATCCATTATGACATTTAGTTTCCTTGAGACCCATTTGCTTTGCAAGACCATAGAACTGGCTGAAGTTACTAGGAATTAACCATATCATGAATAAAACACATGAATATTATTCTAATCACCGGATCATTAGAAGAAAAGTAATTTTAAAACTTTAACATATTTATTGTTGGTAAGAAATACTTGGTAAGGTAATCAATAAAATTAGTCTTGTGAACAATAGCAATTGTCAACAGATGGACAGTTTCTTACAAAAATATTAAGTTGTAAGGTTTTGGGAACATTATAGAGACACTGCTTTTACTGCAGTCTGATCAGTTTTGTACTACTTTGTATATATCTGATGCAATATCTGTGCAATTAATTTCCAGTTATGGATATTGCATAAGAAATAAAAAAAAAGACTTTCAGGCTATGTGAATGAGTCATTTCAGAAACCACTGTTTTTCTGAATTTAGATCAAGACAGCCCACACAAGGATGAATGCAGAGCATATCAACATCTGTAAAAGATTTTGAGTTTGATGAATTTTTTGGTCTTTAAAACATTTGTCTCTCTGTAGAGAATACTGATCCTTGATTTCCAAAAGCTCGGCAATTTTTTTCTCTAACTATATAAAGCATAAAAAGAAAAGCTTCAGGGAGGATTTAGGACATTACTTAATACTAGGATTTATGAATTTTCATTAATTTCTGCTTGCTTTCTCATCACTGATATTCTGGGAATTCTTTAGAGAAAATCAGTAGGGTTCTAATCCTGCAAACGTGTTACCATGTTTAACAGTGTGGACATGGGTGGTCACTCAACTGTGTGAAGCTAAGCAAATAAGAGAATACTAGTTGAACTGGAAACAGTAACTAAGAATATTTCTTGATGTTCGACATTATAGAATAGGCCAGATATCTCACCAAACAGGAATTCTTAAATATTGTAGACATTTTAGATTCTTGGACTAAAGAATCCAGTAACTGTTCTGATCTTATGGGAATTGTAAATGTAAAAAGGAGAAAATTATTCTTTTAAAGAAATCAGCTTGGCAATTTCACCAAAATTTCAAATTGCCACAACTTGAACTGCAATATAGAGTTCAAACCTGACACCCCAAGCCAGACTCAGTCTTAAGAAAGCGAGATAGCAATTCTCCTCTCCCTCTGCAGATCCGACCGTTGTGAACAGCACGGACACGGCGGCCGAGACATTAGCATGCAGCCAGGGCCAAGGCGAGGGCTACCGCGGCACCGTGAACACCATATGGAGCGGAGTCCAGTGCCAGCGGTGGGACTCCCAGTTTCCTCACCAGCACAACATCACTCCAGAAAACTTCAAGTGCAAGTGAGTAGACAGGGACAGGTGTTACTGCAGTGGGCAAAGAGCAATTCTTGCAATTTAGAAATTCGTGTCACCGAAGTAGGCCATGTGATCGCCATCCCTCACTCTGCAATCTGATGTGTTTACTGTGCTTGATCATGCTGGAAGTCATATGAATACGGAAAAAAACAACTCCTAGCTCTTCGTATCTCAAAATATTAATTCTAGACTGATTTATGTGAAACTGTGGGTTTTTTTTCTAAACTTTTTCTTCAAGCACGTATTCACCGTTTAATTGGTTGTGAAGTGTATGGATATTTTCCAAACTGGGACCTAATCCCAGTAGTGCTGGTACATTACGATTGTTTTTCTTTCTCGAAGGCAAGTATTTCTTAGTAGTTTTGAACTTTAGTTCAAAAGTTTGACTTTAACTTAATGCGTCTTCCCATATTTTAGCTACATGTAATCTCATTGACGATACTGGACATTTATAACATTTGACAACACTTCTTCTATTTTGCATCCTTTCAGAGTTTTTTCTGTCTTGTTACCGAATGTATTTCTACTTTCCTGGATAGGACACCTTTTACCTAGATGACCACTGGTCATCTGTACTTGCCCTGTGCTTAATAAAAACAGAGGAATGCTCCCAGCACATTAATCATCTACTTATTTTCAACATTTACCTTAATCATGCTCTTTAGATGCCTTAACTGGGCATGAAGACAACCTAGACAACCAGCATGGGATCAAAGCCCCGCTTAAACTAAATAACTTTTAGACAGCTAAATATCAATCTGGGCTTGTGCCTGAATTTAATGGTATGGATCTTGCAAGATAAAGAAAAGATTCCAGTCAGAGTTCTTATTATGTCTCTAGTAATGGCTTGTTTGAGTAAAATGGATTTGTTGCCTTAATCCCTTCACTGTTATTTTCAGGCTTATTGATCAAACATCATTCATAGTGACACAACTAGTGAAAAGGTAACAATAATTAACAATAATCATTGCAAAAGAAAACAGGGCTGACTGACTGAACTTCCTCTGTCTATCTCAGGATCTTCCTGAGCTCAGAAGTTAGTGCTTTAGCCTGTTCCCACAGGATTTTCTTAGACAAATTACCACTTATACCACTTTATTTTGTACCTGTGTAACACTACTGTATGATTAGGCCTTTGTGCAGCTTTATCAGAGTAGTTAAAACATTAGGACTGTTTCTTCAGCTAACACTTGAGAGTGTAGTGGCTATTCAGGCCGATAGCTCTAGTAAAATCAGCAGAACCGTTTGTAAGGATCTTCAAAGCTCATGTGTGTGAGAATTAGAGTATTACGCACATTCTTTCTATTATCAGATTGCACAGAACAACTGTCAGGAGATGGCAGAATAAAATTTATATTTGAGAGTTTTGACTATTTAATTTGAGCTGTGAGAGACATTTAAAGATGCTCCCTTGTGGCTAACTTTTACTCATGTATTGAATGTCAATATATATTTTTTCATCTTCTACAATTCAGTTTCTTAAACGAATCACTGACAATCTACAGGACTGTTCCTCTAAGCTTAACAGAACAATTCAAAGTACTGGGAATTTTAAGTACCCTGGTAATGTTTGTATTTGAAAGCACTTGTAATGGATTGCAGGTGTACCTAGTGCCACTTTGCATTCAAATTTTGATAAAGATTCCTGAATAAAAATAAACTATATTGAAAACATTGTTAATCTTCAAATGAAATCTTATAGCCAGTCAAAACATAGGCCCATTGAAAATGAATTCCCGTAACTATATTCTTGTTACAATTACTATATTTTACCAGACACTATATTCTCACTGACTCCTTAACTCCCTCTATTTGACACTGATCAGTAACACACAGACCTTAAGGAGCCTATATTTTTGCTAATTCATAATAAAAAGTGCTATAATGCATCAGTGGTTTTAGGTTATCCCTGCTGTAAGCTAACATATTTGTTTTTATAGGGATTTGAGGGAGAACTACTGCCGAAATCCAGATGGATCTGAATCACCCTGGTGTTTTACTACTGACCCAAACATCCGGATTGGTTATTGCTCCCAGATTCCTAAGTGCGATGTATCAAATGAACAAGGTAACAGAGGCGGAGGAGATAAAGTGATTTTAAGTGAATTTCCAAATGGCAGATAGGCAGTCCTGGAAACAGGAGAAGCTCATCTCAGTACATCTGCATTACACCTGTGTAGTTCCTCCTTGGCTTTATTTGCATAGTTGGGATTCATCATGGTGTAAATGAGATTCATTTCTCAGTCCATGTTTCAATTCCAACAGGGAAAGCAGCAGCAAAGATGTTATTGGATCTGATCTTTAGACAAGGTGAATCTACATGCTACTACTAGCTGGAGATCTGATCCGCAATCTTTCTTAAATTGAAGGACATTTTCCAGGGCTGAGATGATTTCTCATGCTTTCTTGATGGATAGTTTTTTTTATAATTGCGTATGAGGCCACCAAATATGTTTTTCTCATGTAGCACCTTGACTAAAAGAAGCTTTGCTGAAACAACCACAGGCAACTTCCAACTTAGCCTTTTAGCGTGCAGTAATTACACAGATCGGTAAAGTCCACTCTAAGGCCTCAGGTAAATATTTATATGTTTTCCCTCATTAGGTCTAGGCGTTACTTTAACAGTTCTCATTGTCTCTTGAGAACTGATGTCAGTCATAGTATAAAGTGAGTTTCAAACCTTCTACTAAGTCTACTTTAGGATGCATTAAGATAATAAATAATAACTCCATCTTTATATTTTAACTTATTTATCTCTTAAGATTTAAAATAGTTGCAGCTGCGAGAGCTCTGTCAGAGCAAGGATTCAGCTTTGCCTTTCATTCTGTGCTTTTTTAAAGTATCAATTATCAAAAAGTAAAGATACTGATGAAAGTGAAATGAAATGCCTTATACAAAAAGTCTTTATAGTAATGATCATTTTAAACAATCGTCTTGAAAAGTCTCAAAAAGGCTTGTGATAAAGGATTATGAATTAAACATGACTTCTGCTTGAGTGAAAAGGCAGGTCTTTGAATTACATTAAAATTAAAGTCATGTCGATTTTTTGATTTTGCCAAAGTAGAAATTAAATTTAGAATTATATAGTGCTGCCAGTATCCAGAATCCATGCCAAGGGGTATTGCTTGTTCCCAAATAGGCTTAGAGCATCTTTTTTGGAGGGAGGGAGGAATAAGGGGGCTTCTTTATTTTGTTTTTTATAAAATATCTCCTGACAACTTTTAGAAATTCTGTGTGAGCCTTTTAAATTAACCACAAACAAAATATTTATGAAGGAAAAATTCCCATTTTACTCAAGTAAGACAAAATTTAAAAGGCTACTGTGCTAAGAATGTAGGAAGGGAATTATATTTCTAAATTTGAAAGTTTTCTCTCATTTTATTTCTGCTTTGATTTATACTGATCTCTGATTCATATTATATAGTGTTTATAGTGTTTGATAAATGCAACACGTGTTTAATTATCTGGATTTTTCATGGAAAGGAAGAATTTTCTTTTCAATGTTGCACCATCTTCTACTATTTTTTGTCTCAATCTTCTTTTTTCAGATTGTTATCGTGGCAATGGCAAGAGTTACGTAGGGAATTTATCCAAGACAAGATTTGGGCTAACTTGCTCCACGTGGGATAAAAATATTGAAGACTTACGTAGGTGTGTACACACGAAACTAAAAGAGATGGTTCAGTGACTCCTGAATAAATACTGCCTCCAGATGGCATCTCTTTTTCTTCTGCAGAGATTCTAAAATAGCCCCTTATGCCCTGGGGCTCTTAGATTTTTTTCCTTTTCAATGTTTAAATATATTACACAACATGTCTTTGTTCAGGCTAACCACTAATTGCAGGCTTTGGGATATTTCTTAGCATTTAGTTTACTGGCCTGGTTTATCCCATTTCTGTCGTTTATTTATTTATTTTTTTCTATGAGGGGGATAGAAGGAATATAGCAGAAGGAGGTTGTATTACATTTGTTCCTCATTTACATTTTCCTTTTTCAAGGTACTGAACATAATAAAGCTCTGAGCAACCTAATCTGATCCTAGCTGATCCTGCTTCAAGCAGGAGGTTGGACTAGAGACCTCCTGAGGTGCCTTCTAAGTTGAATTATCCTGGGATTCTATGATCTAATGCCATTGACATCACATGCCATTTAAGAAACTTGCAGTTTCTACGGCTCATCATTTCTTTGGCTTCCTTATTCAGGCAGTGGAAATGACAAGTTAATTTAAAATATTTGCTAAGGTAAAAATGAACCAGCAGTCCAAAGGTCGTTGTGAGAATCCAAGGCTGTTTCAAGCAGGCCAGGATTCTCCATGCTGTCTCTGCTTGTTTGAAGGGAAGATTAGTCAGTTTCCGGAACAACAGGAATGAAGATTTTCAGGTAACAGATAAAGATAGAGAGTCATCAAAAACTGCACTTCGTCTGAGATGTCGCTGACGTTACTGACTCAAACAGAAAACAGTTTTCTGTTCTAACAGAAAGCTAACAGTTTTCTAACTGAAGAGTTATGAATTTTTTTCCTCTGTCTTTTGCCATGCTCCTAGTTTCTGAAGTCGATGCGGCTATTTCTATCTTGTCTTTGGCATCTGCACTTCATCTGGGACTCATGATCACCACAGTCACAGTGCTCAATGCACTAGCCATCGCCCTTCGGGACTGACTGTCCCCAGCTCCTGCTGTGAGCTTGATGGTCAGTCAGCTGAAGGCATGTAGACTGCCTTCAGAGAGAGGGAGCGGTGTTACAAGAGGTCGACTTCAGAATCACAGTCTCAAATCAGCAGCTGAACTGTATGTGGTTCCCCCTCTACAGTTGGGGCAGGAGATAGCATACGTATTCCAGTCTGCTGTCCATCTAAGGGGCCTATGAAGAGGCTAGAAGTTGTAAGATCATGACTTCTGGGGACTTTGATAAACCTTCAGCGAGCTGTGAATGAGACAGCTTGAACCATCCAAATGCTTGATGCGGTTGCGTTCATATCATCTCAGACTTTTTTCCCTTAATCCCACAATTTTTTTCCATCTGGGAAGTTCTATGTCACTCCAGAGGTTAATCCAGTTACGGATGTGCTATAAGCAGTGTCATGGTTGGTTATGAGCCAAGACGATAGCAGAGCTGTAACCTGCATGAAGAGCCTTCATGCTCCTGTCTGACAGGCCAGAAATAACCAGCTTTCTCCATTTAAGATTCTCAGCCCCAAACCTTTACCCAAATGCCCAATGGAGGGTTACAACTTGAGTGATCTATCACTGTAGTTTGTCTGAGCCATTCATCCATCTCCTTGTCTCCTGCTCAGTCTTGTTAACTTTCTCACATTCGTCCTTCCTTGCCAGCTTTATTCCGTGCAGATTCAATGCTTCCCTTCTGCTCACTGTTCACCTGCAGTGAGAAGGTACCTGTGCCCCAGAACAGGTCTACAGAATTGCTGCGTGTGACATAGACGTTTTTCCAATCAATTTAAAAATCCTTCTTTAGGGCATCCAGGGATTTCAGCTTCGGTGAGACGTCTAGAAAACTCCCAGCTGTTTCGTGGACACACCGCTTAAAACACCAACCACAGGAAACTTGGGCCCAGATCCAGCAAATATTTGGGTCTCTATTCTCTTTGTTTTTAACCAGCCCTAAACCCTGACCTGTAGGCTTCTCAATCAGCTAATATTGCAATGCAGAGCAAAGCAACACTTAACCTTTGAAAATTTGGGCTATAGTATAAAGCTTTTCAGCACTTTGATTTTTTTTCCCTGTAGGCATATACCAATATTCAGAGAACCAGATGTTAGTAAACTGAAGAAAAACTATTGCCGCAATCCAGATGATGATGCTCATGGTCCCTGGTGTTACACAGATGATCCTCTAGTTCCCTGGGATTACTGCCCTATTTCTCGATGTGAGTACTCAGTGTACCTCGGGCATTGCCAACTGTGCAGCCTCAGTGAAGCCATGCAGTGTGCATGCAGTGTCACATGCATACGCATACCCTTCAGCTGTCACTTGTGGTAGCAGAAAATGTGTAATTCTGTCAAGAATCAATTGTGCATGACTGAGAAGGAACAGACAAAAGCTGCTTGTGCAATATATGTATCAGGGGTCCTTTTGCTTGACCAGCTTGGAGATTTTAAGGCTTATTTATGCATCAGGAGCATAAAAGGCTGTTAAAAATGGTCAATCATTTTCCAACATATCTAACTGTTGAATGATGGCTGGAAGGACACAAAGAATTGCCTACTGGTCAGAATACTGGTGGTGGCCTTATGAAACCCAGGAACAGTTATCTTCTGTGTTACAAGCTTCATAGTTTCTTTCTGTGTTCTATACTTGTTTGTAAAATGAGGATAAATGACTACGTGTGTGTGTGTGTGTGTGTGTGTATAAAATATATACATATTATATGTATACTGATGTGTATATTTGTTATATAGACTAAATTATATTTCAGCTGTTCATGGGATGATTTAACTCCTGGAAAGAATTAAGAACATCATTCACCTAAAGTTGTCTGTTTAAAAAAAAAAAAAAAAGCTTAAGTAAATAAAATAAAAAAATCATAAGGGATTGGGTGATTAACTGAAGTTACGTGGAAAAAGAATCATACAGAAGAATATGAATTCATATTTAAGATATTGCTCTTCAATTCTTATTTCAAAACCACAGTGCTGTGTATACTGGGAGGTTATCTAAATGGTAAATCAGGTTTTTGAATGCATTGCTGTGATCTCTAGAGGTCAAGAACAATGTTACACTCATTCCTAGCAGCAATCTGCTGCACTTCCTCATTGTCTGAGCTGCAGCAACTCTAAGAGCCGATATTTGAAGTCTCAGGTGATTTTTGTCATCTATACGGAGAGCAAACACAATGTGCAAAAGGTTATTTGTGTCAATTTAGATAAAGCACAATAGCTGAAGAAACAGAAATTCTGTTCACTCACTCTGAGGTCATTATCTGGATCTATGAATTCCTAAGGAAATATTCACTGCAACCATTTGTAGGGTTATGGCGACGGTGAGTATTGTGATTTCTGGATTCAAACTCCAGGACGGGAGTATGTCTGATTCAGAACTCTAACTTGTGTAGACTAGTTTTAAACCATTATAGCAGCTTATTTGGGTACTGATAACAGCTCAACAGATACAAAGTACTGGCAGCTGCCAACTATTTGTCCAGTGCTTTTAGCTGGTCTGATCAAGCTGCACTATATCTATGTATCTCTATATCTCTATATCATCTCCGTATCTTTATATCTATCTCTATATCTGTCTGTCTATCTATATAACTGTATAGGTTATATGTATGTATAGCAACGTAATGTGTTAGATTTTCATCAATATCCATATGAGACAGTTTAAAGTTTGCCTATGCAAATTTTCAGGAGCTACAATCATACCTCTGGCTCATACCAGCGGGACACACTGCAGACCACGTCGCTGAAGGCAAAAATTTTTGACTAGATTTAAGGATACTTACTGTAACCGCATTTTGACTTGGACCAGAGGGTAGAATCAAACCAGATTTTTGAGAATACATTTTGATCTCGATTAACCTTTGCTGACAGCAACATATAAGAGCTGCGGAAGTTTCACAGATTTTTAAGGAAATTAGGAACCTTTGCTAGAGATGATTTGGATTTCATCACATGACTTCTACAATTCCTGCAAACTTACAAGAAAATTCACAACTCCATTTCTAAGATTGGCTTGTTTGAAGGAAGGATGTAAATCAAACATGACAGGTAGTCTGATGTATTCGAAACTCAGCCAAGAAGAAAAATACTTGAAATTCCTGTTGCAAAATATTTGATTCTATTCCATTTTATTGGAATGAAATTCTGCCTTCTTATTAATCCTTACCAAATTGTGCCTTTACAGCCTAATCAAAAATCACTGACGCTTTAACCTTTGTGAACTATTAAAATTAGCAATATGCCCTTTGCTAGTTTATTGTGATTCTGTTCAATGTTTAGATGTTCAGTGGTGTTCTGTTCAATGTTTAACTTTTCTGTCTTATGGATGTCTTATGTGTCTATCCAGGTGAAGGTGATACAACTCCTATCACAACCAATTTAGATGGTAAGTAAGTTTGCAAATGTACTGTGTGTTGCGTGTATTGCATCGTCTAAGACTAGCCATTCTTTTCAGATTGGAAGGAAGAAAAAGATCAATTAAAGATAAAAAATAATATGTAGCTTGGTAAAAATCGCTTTTACAAAAGGAAAATGTAGAATGTCTTGATTCGCCAGTAGCTTTATTAACTATATTCTCACTTCCCTATCTTGTAAGCGATGAGATATGGTAATAACTTTCAATTTTTGTTTTATAACTATGTGAATCTCCATAATAAACCAATATAAATATGTGTATTTTAGAATCCTCTATAAATATTGATGTAGACTGAACCCAGCTTCACTACAGTAGTTTTGAATTCTTTAGCAATAAGCTTTATTAGCTCAAGAAAGAAAACCCTATCCATGATAAATATTGACCTTCTTGTGGTCCTTATGTGCAACTGTACAGGTTTCCTACCGCTGTTTTTAGTAAAATGTGATCTCTGGACCTGCTTTCAGATACTGTCATTCCTTGTGCCTCAACAAAACAGGTGAGAGTTGTAAATGGAAACCCAACACAAACTAACAAAGGATGGATGGTTAGTCTGACATACAGGTAACTATCACTTTGCACAAAAAGAAGACAATACATCTAATAGGTTATTTGTTTCGGAACAATAGAAAAAAATTGATCATAATAATTTTACATCTGTATTTCATTTAAATCCTGTAAAAGTAGAAAATAGAATTTCTGGAACATTTAGTGATTCCACAGGGTTCTCTTTGTCAGTGAAAGGGTTGTATATTCATTATTGCTAACTTACAAATAAGAGCTTGTAAAGCATGCATAGACTTGTCTTTTGATTAGCTACTGCAGATCTTTTCACATCATTGACTTAGTGCCCAGCATGAAAGCCAGTGCGTGTGTGCGTGTGTGCGTGTGTGCGTGTGTGTGTGTGTGTTATAAGGAAATTGTGCTTCAAGTCAATACTCGCGTTTTAACAGCAGTACATTTATCTGTAAACTTCTGGATTCGGGATTTACACCTGTGCCAAATTTAACTTGCTTGCCTTTATCATTGCATGCAACTGAAATTTAGTTTATATTAAAAATAAGCAGAAATTATAAGGAAATCCTTTTCACTCTGTGAAATAAGACCCTAAAACATACTGCTGGGTTTGTATATTTATTACATTATGCAGGGTCTTACTTTGCTACTGTATAAAGGCCAGAACACAGAATTACTGTTTCTTATGTTCATTACTCTTTGGTTCATAGCTCATCAGCTAGACTGAAGTGTGAATCATTAATGGATAACAGGAGATATCTCACGCATGAGTCCTGTGTCTTCTATCATGGGGAAAAAAATCTGTTGTCATTTGAAGTCCATTTTAAAACTATATCGTCAAATTAGAGTAAAAAAAGAGACTAAAACTATCTTTTCTGCATTACTTTCCATGAAGTGAAGAAATTTTGGGGGTTCTTCACATCCTTTGATAATCTGCACATTTTATAGCCTCAGGTCAGAACTAGACCTTTCTAGAAGTGTAGAGGGTGGCCCAGAAAGACATTTCTAGAGGAATAACATTCTATTCTTGGAATAGATACCTAGACAGGAGGGCTGGAGCACTCTCTGGAAAAGTTTATTTTTCCACTGTCTGTAAAAGCCTTGATGGCTGACGAACTTTTAGACAGGTAGGGAGAATTGTACTAGGGTATGTAAAATTTAAATAGCTAATGTTAAGTTAATTGAACCTGGGCTTTGTGTTGTGCTACAGAATTTCATCAAGAAAACGAGTATTTAAATGATCATATATTCTGCCATGAAAGAAGGATTACTGAAATACTTCAGTGGCAAAACGCATTTTCTATGTATTACATGTGGGCATAAGAATGTAGTTTTATTTTGCATTGTTGCAAAAGAATCAAACAGATTGTAGTCTGAAATAAAATTTTAACAGTCCCAGGACCTTTAATGGAGAGGTGGAAAGTTTCATAAGTGAATCCTAATCTTTGTTCGGCAAAAACTAACCATACCTCTCAAAATGGAGCAGTCATACCTGAATGATAAAGGCTTTGTGAGGCTTACAAACTTGGGTTCCTACTTGGCAACTGAGGCCCACTTCTAATTGTTAAATAAATCGATGACATACAGCATTATGTTCTTATATATCTGATACAAATTCTATTATCAGATATAACTAAGTAAATGTGGAGGAATTCCACCTATTTCAGAGAGTCTACTCTGGATGTGGGCCACGTTTAAATGAGAATTTTAATCTTCATATGCATATTGTTCAATCTTCTAAAGCAGTTGGTGCAATTTTGCAAAGTTCCGCTGTTAAATAGTTATGTAAAGATAATATGCAAAAACACACATTTGCACTCCTGTTTATGACGTTCATCTAATAAAACTGGGCAGTCTAGATTTTAAAAAGAATCCAGCTTTTTGGACCAGATATTTTATTCCTCAATCAAAATGCAATGGAAAAAAAAGGGCTAGCGTCTGTTATTCTGCTGTCTTTGAACTGCATATAAAGTCTGGGTTCCTTCCAGTAGTACTCTGAAAAGCTATGAACATTTGTGTGATTTGAATTTATAAATTGTGAGATTTTAAGCTTTGCCCAAATTGCTGACAATTCTGATTCATTTTCCAAAGAGCAGAAGAAAATAAATGTGATTTTGGAGGCACAAAGAAGGAAACTAATTAATCTACATTCCACACACTTCTTTTTCCTAAAAGAACTGTCATGTTTAATTGTTTGAATTTTACTTGATAAATTATGCTGCAGTTTTTCTATAATCACGTGTAGGATGTCATACATTGTAGATTGTTTCCAACTGAAGTATGTGGGGACTGAAATCTCATAGGACTGGTAATCACAGAAAGTCCCCACCTTGAGGTCGATGCTTTGAAAAATATCTGCTTGAATAATGACCAAATGTTGTTTACATCTGGTGGCAGTTTGGGGGCTTGCTTCAAATTTTCAGCCTAGTTCCTATTACAAAAAAATCCCTTTTTTTAAAAATGTCATTCCCTTATTAAAGATTCGGCTTTGAAACCAGCAAATGAACAGAGTAACCAAATTTTCTCTTTCATCTTCCGGATTATATACATTGGAGTAAACCTCTGTGAAGCCATGTCGCTATGCTGAAACTGTAGCGCAAAGATGAATTTTTTAGGTGTTGCCGGTCAACCACTTTTCACTGGCACTAATTCATTTAAAAATAGGAGGGGAGTACATAAGTGAAAGCTGGCAATAAAAGTACTCTTAGAATTTTTGACTGTGTAGAAACAAACACTTTTTTATTTTCTTTTTTTTCAGGAATAAACATATCTGTGGAGGTTCTCTGATAAAGGAAGACTGGATTCTAACGGCAAGGCAGTGTTTCCCTTCTCGGTACAGTAGTCTGTAGCTTTGCAATATTGAAATACATGTATTTTCTGTTACTTAGCAGCATAACACTTTTTGCATTTAAATGTGGCAGTTTTCTCTCCTGTTTGGCTCTAACACTGCTCTTCTGATGTAAAAAGTCCTGTGGGACCTTGGTATTTTCTGTTCTTATTGCTGTTAATCTAAAAGATCTCTGGCTATTTACATAGAGGTATGAATATGTTTTCCAACTGTGATGGCTAGACAATTGCCTCTTTATGAAAATAATCTCATGCTTCTGCTGAACAGGACCGAATAAAATAGAAATCTTGGGCAAATCTCAAAAAGGTTCGTACTGTCCAAGGATCTAAATGTTTGGATACTATTAGGAAATAAAAATTACATTCTAGGAAGAGTTAAAGATAAATTACATAGTGGCTTCAGCCCAAAACCTTACATCTGAACACGTTGATTTTGGAAAAGTAATTGGCAGTCTTAGACCCATTTCTACTGAAGAGTATTAGTTAAGATCTTTTAGCAAAATGATATTAAGCAGAGTTTTTTTTGTGCTATTTTATTATGCACTCAGCAAAATCCTAACCAGCTTTGCCTCATTTAGGTACAAAGATTTGAAAGATTATGAAGCCTGGCTTGGAGTTCATAATATCAAAGAAAGGGGAGAGGAGAAGCATAAACAAGTTCTGAATATCTCCCAGTTGGTATATGGGCCTGAAGGGTCAGATCTGGTCTTACTGAAGCTTAGCAGGTTAGTTGCTACTGTTGCTAACTCCAGGATTTTCAGCTCATGAAATTCTTCCTAAATAAGAATTGCAAATTCAGTTCTCTGCTCTCGCTGTACTGCAGACGACATCTCTATAGGGTAAACTTCCAGTTGTAAGAAGACAAATAATGTTGTTCATGTCTGCTTTTTCTGGGCACTTCACTGGCATAAAACACGAATATTTTAAGTAAGTGCCTGATTTTCAACTGATATATACAGAAATGCAGGCTTGTCTACCTTACTTAGAAAACAGATGCTACCACATTTTTCCCTGATAAGCAAGTTTAGCTAGGGAAAAAAACAAAACAAAACATAGAATAGTATATGGTTTTAATTTATAGAGTAAGCACCAGATTGTAATTGATATCTTTATGTACATATGAACTTTTAAACTATCTCCATGTTATCAAAACTATTTATTTAAATGAAATGTCATCATTACTTACTTTTAAGAGGAAAACCCAATTTAAATAACATGCAAGTGGTGACAGCATTTCAAGAAATCTTTTGACAATTTACAGCTGCAACACAAAAAATAGGTAGAAAGATCTATCGCACTCTCCAAAGGGGGGAAAGAAAGAGAAAAAATTGGCACAATTTTTAATTGCTGTGGTCTATAACAGGTTTTAATGCAATTCTTAAGATACCCTTTGGAATACCAAGTAAAATTCATCGTATCTATTATTTGTTTTCTGTTTTCAGACCTGCCATATTGACAAATTTTGTAGATATAATACGACTGCCCATTTCTGGATGCACCATTCCAGAGAAGACCACTTGCAGTGTTTATGGATGGGGATACACTGGATGTAAGAAACAATTTTTAAAAATTAAACGAGTATGTTGACAGCTTACTTCCTTCCTTTTGTCATTTTAGGTGAGGATACTGATATTGCTGAATGCTGGGATTGTCCAATAACTTTTATTATAAAAAGTAGCTCCAATTTTTCATAATTTTGTACAGTTTTAAGTGTTTTAGCAAAGATCGTTCAATGTGAAATATTTTCTACCAGCGCTTGCTTTCTTTTCTTTTTTTTTCTTTTCTTTTCTTTTCTTTTCTTTTCTTTTCTTTTCTTTTCTTTTCTTTTCTTTTCTCTTCTCTTCTCTTCTCTTCTCTTCTCTTCTCTTCTCTTCTCTTCTCTTCTCTTCTCTTCTCTTCTCTTTTCTTCTCTTCTTTTTTGTTTCAGTGACAGGCAAAATGATTCAAACATTTCAAAGAACTAACTAGAGAAAAATACATTGCTCTACACGTTAGAGAAGTCTGGTGGCATTGTTTTGAAGAGTTCTAACCCTTTTTTGAAAAATTCTGGTTCAGCTCTTTGGCCAGTTCCTTTCTGCATCCCCAAGCAGGCAGTCCTGAGGAAAAACTAATGCAGAATCATGTAATCAAAGCCATTATCATAATTAACAACAAAGGCAGTGAATTAAGGACACACAGGCAGCCTGAAGTCTGGCATTTCCTAACTTTTAATTGCGTACTTGACTTTGCAACCTTACTAATGTTTATTAAACACAGGTTTTGTGTGAACCAAATACAAATACGTGGGAGAACAGACATTTATTTAGTCTGGCAAATATTATATCTGGCTAATTATGTGTTGATGATAAAGTTGATAGCTGTCACTTGACAATAACTACTCCAAGAATTACAGAGCTCAAACGTCGTTTTGCCGCAGACCCTGGGCGAGCAGCAGCAGCAGCAGCGCAGCCGTCCTGCTCTGCAAGCGCAGCAGGAGCTCGGCTGTAACTCCGAGCCTCTCTTCCTCGTCCCCATTACTTCACCCTTCTCTGTGGGTGGCAAATAATCTGTCCCAGCCCTCTCCCAGATGACTGCCTTTGGGGTTCCCAGGTGGCCGTGTCAGCCCTTCTCCAGGGGGCAGAGCTGTCCGGGGGACGGGGACGCAGGGCTGGAGCTCCGCGCAGCGCTGCAGGAGTGCACCGATAACGGGAGCTGCAGGACTGCAGCGTTATGTAATGAAAATATGCATAGCATCTGTCGTCTAAGGATTCGGTATAGCATTTTGCGTACTACTTAGTATAATTCTCACAACATCCCAGGCAGGGAAGGAAGAAGTGTTACATCCTTTTTTTTTTTTTATTTTTAAATTTTTTGTTCAGAGAAACAGGAGAAACAATTCAGTGAGGGCCAAGCCTGGCACTTTCTATTGATGCCGTGCAGCGGATGGGCAAGTCCAGGCCTCCTATTTATCTTCGCAGCTCGTACAGGCCGTCTTTCGACATGCCGAACGAGAGCGAGCTCCACAGGACTCCTGCTTCCTGACCTTCACGCTGATGAATGGAGATTGCACCGAGCCGCAGCTCTGCCCTTGCAGGCACAAAGTCACCCGGTGCAGCTGAGCCAGCACACGGCGAGAACAGCCCTGTGCTGCTGTGGTCCTTTCCAAGTCACACGCCCCTCCCCAGGCCACGGGTGCCGTTGTTGCACGTTAACCCCTGTTTAAGGCCAGGAGTAAAGTCCGTCTGCTGCTGGTGGGAGTGACACTTCTGCTGGCATTTTCACTTGCCTTTTTTTTCTCATTTCTGTGATGTTCCAAGGCAAGCCGGTGGTGGACTGTAGAATAAACCCAGCTATCTAGTCCTTTCTTCTGCCACCAAAAACCGTTCCAGGTCTTCTCAGAAACTTAAACAGACATGCACACCAAACACATGTCTTCTAAATCTTACTTGTAACAAATATAAGAAATCCAAAAGAAAAATGTATGTTAACAGTGAGAATGGAAGAAAGTGTGAATACTGGAGAGAAAGTGTAACAACCGAAGCAACATAGGTTGAATCAAATTTTATTTTCAATATTTTTCCTAATGGAGAATAACCAATTTGCATTCTATTTTCAACCTTAGTAATTCACTATGATGGCCTTCTCCGAGCAGCAAACCTGTTTATTTTGGGAAATGAGAAATGCAACCAATATCTCAAAGGGAAGATCACTGTGAATGAGTCAGAAATCTGTGCTGCAGCTGAAACCATTGGTGCTGGACCTTGTGAGGTAAACAGTTCGCTTGCTAAGAATATATTAAGAGCCATTAACTTCATTGCTTATTTTCCAGAAAAAAAAGTTATTAGGGTTTTATCTAAATATCCTCTCTGCATAAAATTGTACACCAAAAGTGTATATGAATCCTTCTGCACTGGAAACTGGATTGTCTTTCCAGTGATTGCTTTTCTACCAGAGCGTAGGAAGAACTTCCTTTGCCTCAACTACACTATACAACCACACCAGAAAAGGACTTACCTGAATGTTAAACATAGTTACGTGCCTAAGCACTTTGCTAGACTGACATAAACTTGTGTTCGGTATAACAGAGGCTAAAGTGGGCTATGTGCTAGCAATAGCAGTTTATTTTGATTGAATAGAAAGCAAAGGTGGGAGTAAATGTAACTACTTAGGTACATGACGATTTCCATGTGAAATACAAAAAAAAAGTAATGAAAGAAGGAGAAAAAAAGGAGAAAAAAGCTATGAAAGAAGGAGAAAGATCCAAAAAACAGAGAGAGTTCAGTGTTAAGTCAGGAGGTTGTAGCATTTGGTCTCATTAATCAAGGCTGAGCCAACACTCAGTGAGGACAGTAGAACTACTTCAGCGATAGTGTCATTTGATAGAGATTTGTTTGCTTGGGACTAGTTTTGATGATGAAGAAAAGAGGGATGAGGAGAAATATTGTAAATCACTTATAGCAGAAAAATATCATTTCTGTGTGGAAAATCTGCCTGATGAGGTGATGTCTGGAAGGAAAGCAGGCATTAGTGTTAGTGTGCATTTAAAATTTTTAGTAAAAAAGATGGTTTCCTAACACTGATGTTAATCAAACAGTGAAGTTTTCCCTGCGCACGGGCAGGAAAAAACACGGGGAAAGCACATCTTCATAAGGTTGAGGCATGTTCCATTTATTATTATGTTTCACAGGATTATGTTATTATTGCAAAGCATTTTCTTCAAAATTATTTAGTTGTAAATGAGCTCTTAGACATGTTAAGGTTTACAAATGAAACAGCTGCATGGAAGTCTGCTGGGTATCCTGCACTTTTTTTTCCCTTGCAAGAAGAAATGGACTGAATTAATATTAGTAATCAGTCTTAATCATTGGATAGTTTCCTGCTCCCTGACTTTCCCTTTGAAGCCTCCTTCCTCGGTAAAGAATGGGCAGAGAAACAAAACCTGACTGGCAGGTGAAAATCCACTCTTCAAAATGTTTTATGAGCCTCTTTGATGATACTGACACAGCTCATTGCCTATGTGGGAATTAATCTGCAGTCAGTGAGAAAAAAAAACAAGTAAAGGTCAAGCATTGCTTTTTTGCTTGTGATCCAGAGAGAATACAATGCTAATTGTCAGCTTTTCTTTTTTTGAAACAATGTCTCATGGTCTGATGAAACTCTTAACATCTAGTTTTGTAGCCAGTTTGCTGGCTACAAGCAGTGTACAATTCAGTGTTAAGTTTTGCCTCTGTTAAAACTGCAATATCCATGTTCAGGTCCCAAATCTATATGAATGCCACCTAAAGTTTTAATCCAATATAAATGGAAGTAATGGATTTTAGTGCTAAATAAGACTTTGAGCCAAGCTGGACTTACACCAGACTTCAACTGCATATAGTGAATATACATATATTGGTCCCTATGTGTATTATTCATTCAGAATAACACACATGGGTATTTTAACTAGTTATGGCTCTTTCACTACAAAATAGTATCTTTTCTGTGCGTGTATTTTTTTTCCCCTGCCTACAAAAACACATAGATTCTCATCCTGGGGCCTTGAAAGATGATTGACTGACAGAGGAATAGTGACCCTGGTGCTTTGTCAATACTCTTTCATCCAAAACCTGTTATTACAACAAAGAGAGCTTACAATCAACCAACTTTTAGTCTGTCTGGCTGTTATGTACACAAACAAGTACTACGCTTGCCAGATAGCCGAAAGAGGATAGTGAGACCACTGGTATGTGGTAGTTGGAAGTCACTGGAATCGCACAGAAAGACAGATCATGTGACTGAATTTGCATATAAACTAACTAAGATCAAAGGCCAACCATGATGTGGGTTCATATCATGATGTGAGTTTTGATTGCGAAAGAGGTGTTGGTAGCTGTCTTTCATCCTATGGCAAGACTAGCTACTGCCTGCTTATAGAGCTAGGTCCTACTCAGGCAATAAGAAATGGGCGGGCGCTGTGTCTTGTAGCATTTTCAGAAGTGACGTTCTTTGTATTTTTTTCTTAGAGAGATTATGGTGGTCCCTTGGTTTGTGAACAAAACAGGGTGAAGATTGTAGTGGGTGTCATTGTTCCTGGCCGCGGATGCGCCATCCGAAATCGTCCTGGAATTTTTGTTCGGGTGGCATTTTACTCCAAGTGGATACGCAAGATTCTGCTGACCTACAGATGAGTTGCAGCTGAATGCCCTGCACAAGTCAACAACTGCATCCACAGAAAGATTTTGGACCACGTGAAATTAATGTATAATGTAAAGATCAACAATTTTTAACTACTTGATAGTCAAGTTTGTTGAGCTTTTAATATTTATGGGTGTTTTTGGTATTTTTTTGTCTATCATTAGTGTTGTTTTATAAATGTTGGAGTGACTTATAGTGTATGCAAGTATGGTGACATATCTCCTGAAGATACTTGAATGCGTAAACAATTTCGCAAAGATCTTGCTGGATGATCAACAGTCTTATAGAAATAGATCATACGACCTCTTTTATGCTGCTCTTCAGATTATCTGAGAAGGAGAAAGAAATGACAGTTTTATTTAACACATCTTATTATTTCTATGAGCGATATATTTCTCTCCATATGTGGCAAAAGACCTACTGAGAGATATATGTATCAAAGGACAGCGTATATGATCCTATTTCTCTTCCTACATTATGAGAGGTTAAAAGTCTGAATGTTTCATTAAAAAATCATCTCTTTAGAAGTTATCTTTTCACTGTTGACCAACATCGATTAGTGGAGTTCTCATAGCTGTTAATATCACTTCCTTTTACATATGGTTTATAGACTCTAGTTCTGTACTTGGTCCCCTCAGTGCATACATGGTCCCCTAAGAGATATCTCAAGAAACCCTCTGGATGAGGGAAGAGATATAGATGTGGATTGGATGGCAAATTATCAGTCATTTGTTTAAAGGAAGTCCTAGAAATAACTGTGATTTTACAGTGCTAAGTGTATTTCACAGGATTTGAAAAAATTAATCCTGATTATCTACTGACAGACATTTTTGTCATTAAAAGAAATTTCAATCAAATATGCCTGAATCTTTCTCAAAAAATAAGTTTTACAAATTCAGTTGATTCTAATTAAAACAGAGAAAGGGACAGCTGAATCGGGCCCCTTGCTTAAAGGCTTAATAGTAAGAAAATATAAAATACCATAATTGTCTTTTCAGAGACATTAGACCTTTAATAAAATCCTACAAAAGATTTGTTGAAAATATATCATTTGTATAATTCCTTTCAGGATAACAAAATTATTGCAGGGATTAATATGATCTTGTGTGCAACACGGAAAACGTCAGCAACGGTTTGGTAGCTTGTCTCTCCCTTCATTATGTAGAACCATTATTTTCCACCCTACTGGTGGAGAAAGGGAATAAATAATCAGCATTTATGAAAAGTGCTTGTTCTTCTTTAGACTTTTGCTTATATGGGTGGAAGCATTATACAATTAGCAGAAGGCAATGTTTTATTATAGGTACCATCAATTACCCTGTAATTTCTGGAAAATTGATAGCACATATATCCAATTGTTATTTTTACTACTGTACATGTAATTGCATAAGTAACTGCACTGTTACTAAATTTGTGAGCTATGTAATTATATATGTTTCCAGTAGCAAGTTGAAAGGTATGTATCATATCTAACTGCATAGCCACTAAAACTGACATCGTGGTGTAGACATATAAAAGAACGTTTCATTACATTCAGATGACGTAGGGTTGAATTCTGCCCTGGCAGAAAGTAACCATGTTAGGGGAGCTGCCTTGGGAGGCAGCCCTGATGTTGACTTACCAAATCATTTTCTTCAGCAGTGCACTTTGACTTCAGTGGGACTCAAATACGCTCACATATCCTGGTGAACTGGGATGAGTTTCAGCCTATGCTTAAGTGGCTTGCTGAGATTGATGTCAAGCATCCAAAAGATTCTACTGGCACACAGAAAGAAGCATTTCAGTAAGCAGAGCTTCTGAAATCCCTTCTAATGTAAATAGACTCCTTGGACAAGATGTGACTTTTCTGTACAGGGGATCTGAGGTTGTGGATGCTACATGGATAGTCTATCTTGATCTCTTCTGGTTGCCACCGAAGGCTTTCTGCTCCTTTTGGTCTCTCCTGTTCACCAGGCCAGAAGAACAGGGCAGGATTTAGCCTGTTGTATTTACAGTTAATTATTGCTGTGTATGTAAAGAGTATATTCTTACTAAGTATACACTGACTATATCTTATTGAAGAGATTGACTTTTTAAGAGAGACTTTTAAAAACTCCAAGTGAGTTTTGTTTTCAGTCACAAGTAGAATGTGGAAAAAATATATAATTCCATGTTCACTCTTCATATTCTAAGAATTGTTATGTGCTCTCTGTATTATATTTGCAGGCATTTTGTTATGTCTATCTAAAAAATTGAATCCTAAAGTATTTTAGTTATAAGCTTCTGCTGTGCAGAAGACTGTGATTTTTATATATATATATATATATATATGATAAAAATAATGTTTTTTGTTAGACAATGTGTAAGGATTTTTACCTGTTTGTTCTGGGCAGCACCTCAGTAAAATAAGTTGTGCAGAGTTGGTGCTCCAGAACTTAACGTGTTTGTATGCACTTGCTTACCTTAGCTCTTGCTCCCTCCATCTCAGTATGGAGGGCACGTGAGACTCTGGAGAGCAAGGGAAAAGAAGGATAATGGTATAGGGTAATGAATTCGTACTTCATTTATTCCTGTGAATATTTCTTGTTGGTACCAATGGTACTGTAGCAGGCAACTGTTATAACTACAGGATTCTCTTAAAAAAGGACACTCTATAGATATTTCTTCATTTTTCTGACATTTTTCTTTCTATAATAACAGAGGAACCTGATGTAGTACCCACCTGAATTGCTGGAAAGCCTCTTATTGTCTTCAGTGGGATTTGGACTTTAGTTTGTGTATTTGATTTTATTCATTTTGAAAGAGAGTAATTTAGTGTGAAGGGTACAAAACTCAAATTCTTATCTGAGGACATTCTTAAACTTCATTGTTTCATCTTTATTTTCTTTACTGCAACTAGCCCATGGACTCTGAAAAGTGCAATAACTGGAATTAAGATTTAAGACCTGGCTACACCACTGAAGTTAATTTGACTTTATTATCGATTTTCTCTGGGTATTGGAACTGGCTGATAGTTCTTCCTTTCATTAATGATTTTTTTTTTTTTTCCTAAAAGAACATTTTTCCCTATCTCTTTTCTCTCATAAACCTCATGACCCTCAGAGAAATTGTAGTTCTCATTGGGAATGTGCTGATCTAGATTTTTGCTGCTGCTGCTGAAATTTTCTGCTCTAGTTTAAAAATTGCAATTCTCCAAGGCATCCTGCAGACCCTTCCTGCGGGCAATGCCAGTGTACTTGACAGAGCTACTTACACGAGTTAGAGTTTTCAGATGAGGGTCCAAATTTATCTTTGAGGGTCAGAATCTACTCAGGCAAAATGTCCCTTGAAATCAGTCAATGTGATTGTCAAAAGAGCCAGGGCTGAAATTTGCTCAGTGCTTTTCCCTATGGCCGTGCACTGAACCACTCACAACCATGTAGGTCAAAAAGCACACAGATTCTGGACTCTGCAGCAACTGCAACAGCAGGCCAGGCTTTACTTCCATGCTTTTGGAAGGCTGGTTATAAACCAGCTGACCCCGATGGAATCTGTAAGAAAACTCATTGAATTAGTTGTTAAGTGTTGTTTCCTTATCAATTATTTTCTTCCTCCCTCATGTGCACTGGTATATTATTGTTTTGTGAATGTCGGGGCTGCTGGCAGGAACTAACATGGCTTTTCATCCTAAACTTTTGCAGTGTTCCTTTTTAAATACACTCCTGGGCATTTACACATGGTGTGGGATTCAACTTCAGGGAGCTGTTTGAGGAATTCAGTGTATGATAAAAATATTTTTTGTGTTTAAGTGGGAAAAAATAATGTCCTCACTAGATACAACTAGCCGAATGCCTAATAAAAAGGGAACACTGTGGTTATAACTTGTAATACAAACACTCTGTAATTACCTGCATCTCCATTAGTTAATAAAGTTGGTATTTTTGTAACCTTGTTTACTCTTATTATTCTAAATAAAGTATTTTATAAAAAAACAATGACCTAATCAGTATTATATTTCTTATTTTAGGTTTGGAACTCTAATGCTAGGGGCAAAAATAGCCATGTCTTAGAAAAACGGGTAAGTCCCAATCCTATTACTGCTGGTACATAAGCAGATGCAAAAGGGAGCAACATCTCGCACAAACCTAAGAGCTGCTGCCACCATCTCTGCTGCTGTTGATATCACAATGAAATAATGAGGCTAGTTAGCAAAAAAGAAAACAAGGAAAACCCTTACTATTCCCACTGGATTAGTGCCTCTGTCCACTGGATAACAGCAAGCTTCTATAGCATCATGGTGTTCTCATTCAATGCAAGGGACAGTAAGTTTATTACTCGGTTTTCATTATTCAGCCCAAATGTCAAAGTTGTAAGCATTTGGGGTTACACTGGAACTTTGATTATTTAAATTTGCAGTTGCTAGCGCTTACGTCTGTATTAAATACTAAAGACAATGAGTTATTTTTCAAACAGTCTCATGCATGGAGTGTTTGAAGTCTGATTCTGAATCTTCCATGGTAAACCTGTCTTTGTTTTTCTTTGTAGTCCCAAATAGGGATTTTCTAATTGATACATAAAATCAGTGAATTTTATCAGGAACTACTCAAATGAATGCTTCCAAAGTTTTAAAGGATGAGAAATATTCCATATGTCAAAAATGTATCTTCTTATAGTTTTACATTCAAAGTGTTCAGGATGTTGAGGTGACCTGTCTACCTCCTGGGAGCTATGAGAAATAACTGCTTGCACAGCAATTTGCACAACAAAGATCTACAGAGAGTCATTGCCTGCATATTAAATTCTTCTGTTACGGCTTTATCTTTTGTAGTTACAAGAACGCTGTACTCTATAGATGAAAAATGATGAAAACCCAGATAGATGCTCAGTGCTTGTTTTCTGCACTTTAGTATTTAACAAACCTCATATAAACAGAGTAGGCCATTTAGCAGAGTTCAGTTCTGTATCTGCCTTCAAAAGCATCGATTTCTGAACAGCTATGTTCCAATAAAAACCACCTGCAATAAATAAGAAAGAAAATAGATGGGGGGAAAAAAGGCAAACCATAAAAAGGTTAATACCAAAGTAAGCCCTAAAATGAATAGATAACTTTTTTTTTCATGTGGTCTCAGTTTTTATAACATGGGATAAACAGTGTGAAAAGCTGCAGTAGAATAGCTTAGTAGCCTTGGCTTTGCTAAAACGGATTCACTCTGGTTCAGAACACTTCGGAAGGTACAAGGACTTCTCCATATGGACACAGAGGATAGAGTGCAAGTTGTTCTTCTGGGTCTGACAGCCTGATCCCACTTGCATGGAGATCACTGCAAAAAGTGTGATGGGATGTTACCCCATGTAGGGTAATGGGTAAGCCTCCTTCTTAACCCCTTGGGCCTTTTCATGAGACTGTGTAGATCCTGACTTAGTCAAGTACTCAGGGCAGGTTCAGAGCACAGGGCAAGACCCTGAGCGGCAGAGAAGAAAAGTGAATACTTTTCTTTGAACCTGGGTGTTTAAGGGCCAACTGAGGCCTATCAGCTTTGCTCAGTCAGAGATGGCTACTGAATATGCATATTGGTTCACTTGCTTTCTATTCCAAGATTTCTCATTAAAAAAAACCAAAACGTAATAATGACTGATGCAGTTAGCATTAATGTAAATTCTTATACTCATAATGACCACATTCCTTCAGGTAAAAAAATCTCTCGCTTGCAATTGTACCACTTTAGAGCCTAAGAAATATTGATGTTTGCTTGAGGTCTCTCATGTTGTGCCTGTTTAAGATAGCGTTGCCCTTGACTGGGTTATTTAAAACAATACTTTATTGGGAAAAAAGCTGTATAAAAGAATGAAATTCATAGTAATTTATTAAAAATAAGGCAGAAAATATGGTGCTAGTCGCATTGCAGCACACATTGGATTAGATGAGTCTAAACAAGAAACAGACTTTCTTACCTACTCAAGTGAGGTTATGCCTTGAATAATATGTGAGTTTTAGCATTTAATCCAGTTCAGATTATACTAACTGAAACTTTTCCCAGCTGTGTTTCTTTCTTTCAGGATTAATGTCAGTATGATACACAAACTAAGGAAGTATGCATTTACATCAACATTGCTATTACAAACCCTGTCAACAACAGTCTCACGTCTTGGGTGTAAATGTGCCATCTACTGTTCATCCTTGAGTTTAACAGTATTATAACTTCACACAGCAGTTAAATAACAAGTCTATGTTTCTGCTGGTAAACCCTCCACATAGCCTTAATTTTTGCTGTTGAACATGTTCAGAATTTGACTCAGAAGAATACCTAGGATGAGTGAAAACTCATTGAAGTCCTGGAGTGTTCAGAAGTGTCAGCCTGCAAATTATCCATGCTCGTGTACTCAGCCTCCATCAGGTTCATTAACACATGGACAGGGCTGTGCTAGTGGGCTAAAGTCCCCAGGAGCACTTTCCAAATCGGCAAGGACTTGCTCTCCCCGGAAGGTGCTCTGCAGCTCTCTCTACCAAATACACAGCCTGAGACTTGATGTGGTTGAGCACGAGAGCACAGATTATGCGCGTGTCCACAAACACGCATGCATGCACACACGCACACACACAAATACACAGGTGCCTTCACAGCGCTATCTAGCTGACTAATTCATGACTGCTTTTGCTTATGTCTTATGTGGTTCACCAGGTTCCTTCAAGAGAAGGATTGCAACCTGGGATTTTCCCTGTGCCTCTAAGCTGTATGAACTAGAGGGCCTTGGTATAGGGACAGGATATCCTGAGAAGAAGGTCTTCCTACCAGGAGCAGTTATCCCACTTCTAATAACTAAGCATGACAAGGGTAAGCTTAGTGGTGGCAACCATCTATGTGACTTTTTTCACAGCCTGAATGTGCACGTTTATGATGGCTCCTCTGTACTTCAGGGAGCAGAAGCCTGAACTTCAGGGGACAGAGATTATGTGCTACCCTTATCCTCAGCTGTTTTTGTTAGCTATTGCTAACAAAAGTTAGTGTCAGTCCTCACTCTCACTGTATTTTGCCTAATAATGTAACTGATGGGTGCTGGTGTTGCTAAGGTCTGCATAGATGATACACCGAACAGAGCTCCTTTGCCTGTGCTCCACACGAGCTGGATCCAAACTAACCTGTTCAATCCTACACAGTGGCAGCCTGTTTACATGTGCCTGTGCCTGTGCCTGTGCATGCGTGTGCGTATTCATATATACACAGATATCGTGCCTAAAGGAGTGCTTTTACCCTGTCAGTGATGTTTA